AGCTTCCTGGATTACCTGGAAGTCTATTTCCTTTGCCAGATTGGGGAAATTCTCCTTTATTATTTGTGCAAATAAGTTTTCCACTGGTGGCTGTGCCTTTCCCCCTTCTGGTACCCTTATAATTCGGATGTTGGAGCATTTAAAGATGTCCTGGAGGTTCCTAAGACTCTCCTCATTTCTTTGAATTCTTGCTCCTTGACTCTTTTCTGTTTGGACATTATTTGCTTTCTTCTGGTCCACTCCATTGATTTGAGTCCCAGTTTCCTTTTCATTGCTATTGGTGTCCTGTGCATTTCCATTCATTTCAATTAGTTTCGCCTTCATATATTTGTCTAATTTGTGGCTATAATCAACCAGTTCTATGAGGATCCTGATGACCAGTGTTTTAAACTGTGCGTCTGAGAGTTTTGCTATTTCTTCATCGCTTAGATCTATAGGCTCTGGGGCTTTGAGATATTCTTGTGACATTTTTGGTCTGTTCTGGGCCTTTAAGTGTGAGAAGCGGCGCCTTGGACTCCCAGGTCGCTGGGTTGTGATGCTGTATGTGGGGCCGTGGTCAGAGCGGGGAAATGGTTGACCCCCCTCTGCTGTTTCTCACAGCTGGGTGAGGATTAGCGCCTTAGGTGGTTCACCTGGGCCGGGCCACTCAGAGTGGCTGGGTTATGACGCTGTATGTGGAGGTGGGGTCAGAGCAGGGAAATGGCGGCGCCCTCCACTGCTGCTTGCCGCGGGGACCCGGCCCTGGTCCAACCGCCCACTCCCTCGCCTGTCCGCCACGCACAGTCAACATGCAGCACCGCTCCCCTGCTGTCTCCCCCGCGGTCGCTCACCTGGTGGCTCGCTCCGTCGCTCACTAGGTCCAACCCTGCGCCTGGATTCCGCACATCTGGATTCTGTGCCTGAGTCCGTCTGACCGAGTCCTCCTGTGCAACCCCGCTTCACCAGCCGCTGGTTTCGCCCTTTACCGGTCAGGCTGAAGAATTTGTTGTTAACGGACTTCCGAAAAGTTCAATTTTCCGTGTTCTGGCTATGTTTTCTGTTGCTAATATTAAGTTGTCTCTAAACTTGGTTGTGTGAGAAGGCACGGCACATCCACCTTTGCCTCCATCTTGGCGGAAGTCCCCAGAAGCTGTCTATTTCATTTAAATCAAAGTTTATTCAATGCTAAATTCTCATCTGTTGGACTGGCAGGGTATTCAATCTCAGGCATTATTAAGGCCCTTTCCTCTACCAGTGACATGCAAGTCCCCAAGTATCTTACCATGTACCATATTAATCTACTAAAAATAAAAGGCCAAAGTGAAAAGCAACAAACATTTATTTGAGATCCAAAATAACAGCCATTTAGGAAACACTGATTTAGGCAGAAACTTAAATAATTTACCTATTAGGAGGGTATTTATGAGAAATGGAAGGGGAAGAATTACATGAATAGAAGGAATTTCTATAGGTGCAGATAAACAAATACAGTGATGCTGACTCTAAAGGTGTAATTTTTCCTTCCTTCCTTCCTTCCTTCCTTCCATTCTCCTTCCTTCCTTCCTTCCTTCCTACCTTCCTTCCTTCCTTCCTTCCTTCCTTCCTTCCTTCCTTCCTTCCTTTATCCCTCCATCCCTCCCTTCCTTCCTCACCAAAAGACATTTTTTCATTGCTTTTAGAGACAGAGGAAGGGAGAGAGAGAAACATTGATGTGAGAGACACATAAATTGGATGCCTCCCATATACCCACGCAGACTCAGTATTGTATGTGACTAGACCAGGGATTAAAACTGCAACCTAGGTATGTGCTCTGAGCAGTAATCAAACCCACAAACTTTTGGTTATAGTACAACACTCTAACCAATTGAGCTACACTGACCAGAGTTTAGCTGGTCAGTGACCCTAAAGACCTTTAGGGTCTTTAATTTTCAGTCCTGCAATCATAATGTCTGTGCTCTTGTTATCTTTACAAACAATTATTTGGGATACAGTGGTAGTCTAGGCCTACTCCAGGGGTTATTTGCCTCAGTTTTGTTTTTTTTTTATCAGTGGAAGTGGGGCATTTGCAGTGGGGCTCTTTCCTTCTAAAGGAAAAGAATTTCCTGAGACCAACATAGAAGAATGTGGCTCTGTGGTATGTTTTATTGATTATATACAATTAAGGGAGTTCCCATCCCTGACTTCCCAATGTCTCATCTCCATCTGTCTTGCCATAGAAAAAGTGCAATTTTGTATTCAGTAGGGGCAGATTGAAACCACTGCCCAGGGTTCATGCTCCATATTAAAGGATAGTACAGTTCAGCACCCAGCTCATATAGAGTGTTTTCAGCACTAGTCCATTACTGTGTTGGAGACGATGGAGGGAACAGGTGCATGCACTCTGTGTAGACCAAAAGAAAGAGAGAGCGTATTTGTTCTTATGGAGTTATAACCAGGAGCTTGGGTTTGGGATGAACCAGGTGCTTACTCAAAATAACCAATCAACTTTCCAAGTTGGGCTTTGAATAGATCCACCCCCTAGTTAGACTGACAGGCCTCTTCAGTCCAGTGCCTCCACCCACACCTTCCACTAATCCAGTACTGAAGTGGTGGAGGGAGGAGTAATAATCCAGTTAGCAGAGCAATGCTGTAATCCCCTGGAGTAAGAAATTGTATCTTCTTGGCTAGCAACTAAACAGGCTTATGCTTCCAAATTATTAAACTCAAAGTCTCGTTGCCTTTGCTCCCCTTTTCTAGCTAAATACCAGCAGTAGCAGTTTTAAGATTTCGAAGTTTGAGGAGTAAGGTGTGCAAGGCAGTTCCTCTGGGATGGCAGCTCCAACTCCACTTAAAAGTGACTGTTTACATTATTTTCCACAGCCAAAACATCAGAGAAGCTGTTCCAACTTTCTGTTATCATTTGCTGCTAATGAGATGCTGTTGTCTCTGCCATCCTGGTTCCATGTATTCTAGTGGTAGCAGCAGTGTCTTCACAATGCTGGGAAACCTGGAGTCTAGGGCACCACAGGGGTGGGGTTTTGGTTTTCTTTTGTCTCCTTTCCATTTAGGAGAAGTCTTCCCTGTAGCAATTTTTGCATTTACCCCAGGGGCACTTACCCATCTTCTCCTCTAACACCTGCCCCCAAGATACACACACACGAGCTTAATATTTTAATCAGTTTATACCACTCAAAGTCTCCTGAGGCAATGAATTGTAATGATTTGGCTACCTACTAGGAATTCGGAGATAAAACATAGATCAATATCTCAACAGATTGTTTTGCAACATTTCTGCACTGATAAGTTGGTTGCACCCCTTCAAGGATATTTTGGTCCTCTTCTTGATCATCTTGGCATTTCCCAGAGGTTATGTCACTGATGGTCTTTATTCTTATATCAAAGTCTGTGTCAGTCTGGTAACCTCACATAAAGTAGCAGCTGGTTGGGTGGGGAATACATTTCCTCAGGCTTTCAAGGTCAGGGTTCATAAATGTAGATGTTGAGTGAATTTCTTGCTTTCCACAAGAAAAAATATTTTTTCCACTCTCAACCTTACCTGTATCCCTTCTGCATGATTTTCTTTGCTTCTGGTCAGCCTTGGGGAAAATGGGTTATACAAAAACAAGGATGGAACAGGGGACCACTTACATGCCTATGATAAAATCCTAGGGAAGAGGGGATGGGGCTTGAACTGGGGCAGTAGAAGTAATAAATGGTTGGATTTTTAATGCTTTCAAGGGTAGAGGCAGTGATCTAACATGGAGTGTTAAAGTCAAATATAAGAGGCCTTAGCAGAGAGTCCAGAGGGACCATAAATGACTTGAGAACATTTTACATCTTGAAACTAGAAACAAGTTTAAAAGTTATCACATGAGAATTAAATTCTGGTAGTTAAAGAGTTGGTTCTTCAACCTAAATTTGCAGTCAGTATTTATTATCTGATTCATCTCCCTTTCTATAGTCTCTGGGTTTTGATTCTCTCCCAATTCCAGCTGCCATAAGTTCTTTCTCCCATTCTACATCCATCACCTGTGGATGTTTCAGCCTTTTCATATCCCTCCCTTATAGTAGTCCAAAAGAAATGATGGCTGCTGTTTGTAGGGGAAAAGAATGCAAGGTACTTGAAAACAGTAGTCTTGTATTCTATTCACAAGCCTGATTTTAAAATAACTGGGAATCTAATAGTGAAAAGAAACTTTATTTTTAGAAATATAATCCTGCTTTCTTACTGTAGATTTCTGGGTAAATCTACTTTATTGGCATCAATAACACAAAGTATTAATAAATGAATGGAAAAAATTTGGGGAAAGTAGAATTTCTGCTTTCCTTCTAAGGTGAACTTCGCTTTGGCTTTCAAAACAAAAACAGTGGGCTATATTGCTATTATCCAGGAGCTGTAAAACTTGGGCAAGATAGTTCTTTTTCTATGGCTTTTTTTCTTTCTCATCCATAAAATTTCAGCCCTCCTATTGCCTACTGTTCTTAGGGGCCTCGGAAAATTTAAAATCTCATTTAACCAACATTTGGTGTGTACTGTACAACAATATGCTTGATGCTGAGAGAAATACCAAAAAGTACAAGACAGGGACAAAGGTCTCTGTTCTTCTAGAGCAAGAAATTAGCATTTAATAGACACACAATCGTGAATCCAATTTTCAGGCGGTAAAAATTCTCCCGTGTTGGCCGTTATCTATCACCTATCGTACATCAGTTGCTGCAACTGCTGCACCCTCACCCAGCTAATTCTTAAAAGTGCCATGCTAAGGCGGGAAGTGTAGAATTCCATCTTATTTTCACTTCTAAAGATATTAAGGAAGATGCACTGCTATCTGCGCCGTTTTCAAAGGGTAACCTTTTACTTGTCCCAACTAAAATAACTGAATTTCACAAGCTCCCAACCCCAACCCACACGTCCCAATCTGGTTCTGGGTAAAAACTCTCACGGGTTATTGACCAATGGGGTAGCTCCTTCTTCGCTGAGGGGTAGGACCTAGAGCAAAAACTTCGAAGACCCGCCCCTGTACGTGGCGTGCGTACGTGGCGCTACGTGGCGCCACTTGGCGCGGAACTATCTTCCCAGTGTGTGGCGCCCTCCGGTGGCAGCGGGGCATCAGTGTGACAGCCAGTTCTGAGCGCCTGCCATGGACCCTCAGAAGGAGGCGCGAATATGCAGGGACCCGGTGGAACGGCTGCCGGCCTCGAGATCTCAGACGCCTAAAGAGGAGGATCGCCGGGAGAGCAGCGCAGCTCGGGCGGTGGCTACTCCAAGAGAGGAGGCGGGCATCGCCAGTGTGGATGGGCTCTGGGACCTGCCTGTGGAGCCGTCTGATCGGAGGCCTGAGTGCAGCCGCTGCAGGTGAAGGACGGGCGGGGCCTCAGGCCGGGGGCGGGGGGTGGGGGGAAACGGGGTGGTGGGGGGTGGCGAAGCTGCAGCGCCCCCTTGTGGGAAGGCGGCTGCTGCGGTTCTGACCCGGAGGAGCGGTGGCTCTGGCACTTGCCGGGGAGGGTGGCGGGTTCACTGGTTGACCTTTCTATGACTGTGAAATACGTGTCATAGTTCTTCAGTAGGAAGCCATTTATCTAGGTTCGATGTTATTTAGCGTTACTTCCCTCAAGACTCAGAGTGTGCTTAAGTGACCGTCGTCGTACAAATGAAAAAAAAAAAAACCCCAATGAATTAGAGGCTACAAAGTGGCTATTCCAGTCGTTAAGACTGTATTCAGAATTCTGAATTCACTCAAATATTTATTGAGCACCTACTGTGTGCCAGGCACTGTGCTAGGTCCTGGGAATGCAAGCATGAGTAAAACAGACATAGTCTCTGTCCTTCTCGGGGCACTTACAGTCTATGGAGGAGACAATTTATTAAACAAAACAACTGACATGATTGAATGCTCACAGTGTGTCCGATTGTGTAAGTACTTTTCAGGATTATTCCATTGTGCTGGTGCACTAAATGGTTATGAGGATTGCTTTCCTTGCTTGTTTGAATTTTTGCTATTCACATGTACTATTCTCTTTACTACATGGGTGTTCAGGGTCACTTTCCTTGGTTGCTGAAGATCTCCATCTATCACCAATCTCACTGCTGCCCTTCAAAATTTTAACTATTAGATAGTGGCTGTACTTCCTCACCTCGGAATCACTCTGCAATTTGTCATCAGATCCTACACTCTCCTGAAATGGCTTTCACTGGAGTCACTCGTAATCTCCAAGAGATGAAATCCAGTGGATCCTTTTCTGCTCACTTTTTGCTAGACCTCTTGGCGGCGTTCTGCAGTTGAATACTCCATTCTTGAAACAGTCTTTCTTTGGCTTCCCTTTGGTTTATCTGACTTCTCTTCCCTACTCATCTTTGCTTATTCTACTCAAACTCTAAATGTTGAGCTGCTTCAGGTCTTGAATCTAGGTTGTCTTCTCTTCTAACCCCACATGCTTCCTACAGGTGATCTTAACAGTTTTCATGGGTAAGTTATTACATCTACCCCAATATCTCTAGCCCAGTGATTTTTAACTTTTGAAAAAATCTTACAACATGCATGAACTAGTTATTAAAAATCTGTGGCACTCCAAAAATATATATTTTTGCCAATCCTAACAAAAAACAGGTATAATTTTGATTTATTCACACAGGATGGCTACTATGTGTTGGCTGTTGTCATTTTTTTGTTAGCTTGTGCAAGAGACTTTAATTTTACTTAAGTCACTATTATTTAAAGATTCTGTACAAGTCAAAGCAAAGCAAAATCAAATTCACACTGATAAAATAAAATTAAGAGTAATAACTGAAGTTGGGCACAGCTTTACTCTCATAGAACGGTTAGCTCTCATTTTTAACATATACTAAACAGTAATATTTTTTAACCTCAAAGAACATTTTTGTTGATTATTTGATGCTGATAATTATTTAAACAGAAGTTTACATTCATATCAAAGACATCCAAAATAATACTGAATGCTTCTTAAGAGAGTTTATTAGAATATAGTATGACTTACTGGTAAATATGCTATGAAATATTCTATGATAATATAGTTAAAGTATAGACATGTCCTTCAAACTAATCAAAAATATATCCCAATTTTTAAAGCTATTGAATATATAAATATGTCCCTGTAGATTGTATCTATAAACTAGGCATAAAATTAACTGTATGCCAATAAATTACCATTTTAGCAAGGTATACAATGCATATAACCATATTATTGTCCTACTCTTTATTTTATTTTTTATTTTAATTTTCAAGAACAGTTTTCTGTCTTTTACTCCCATCCCAGCCCTCCCCACCAGCCCTCCCTACCTTCTTCTTGTTTCCACCCCACCTTGCTTTTGTCCACATGTCCTTTATACTTGCTCCTGCAAACCCTTACCCTTTTCCCCTGACATTCCCTCCCCTCTGGTCACTGTCAGCCTGTTCTCTATTTTTGTGTTTTTGGTTCGATTTGGGTTGTTTGTTTGTTTTGTTAATTAGGTTCTTGTTAAAGGTGAGATCATATGGTATTTGTCTTTCAACACCTGGCCTATTTCACTCAGCATAATGCTTTCCAGTTCCATCCATGCTGTTGCAAAGGGTAGGAGCTCCTTCTTTCTCTCAGCTGCATAGAACTCCATTGTGTATATGTACCATAATTTTTTGATCCATTCATTTACTGACGGGCACCTAGGTTGCTTCCAAATCTTGGCTATTGTAAATTGTGCTGCTATGAACATTGGGGTGCATAGGTTCTTTTGGATTGGTATTTCAGGGTTCTTAGGATATAATCCTAGCAGTGGAATTGCTAGGTCAAAAGACATCCATTTTTAGTTTTCTTAGAAAATTCCATACTGTTTTCCATAATGGTTGTACCAGTCTGCAATCCCACCAACAGTGCTCTAGGGTTCTCTTTTCTCCACAGCCTCTACAGCACTTGTTGTTTGTTGCTTTGTTTATGATGAACATTCTGACCAGTGTAAAGTGGTATCTCATTGTGTTTTTAATTTGCATCTCTCTGATAGCTAGTGATACTGAGCATCTTTTCATGTGTCTCTGGATCCTCTGTATGTCCTCCTTGGAGAAATGTCTGCTCAAGTCCTTTGCCCATTTTTTGCCCATTGGGTTGCTTGTCTTCTTAAAATGGAGTCGTGTGAGTTCTTTATATATTTTGGAGATTAAACCCTTGTCTGAGGTATCATTGGCAAATATGTTTTCCCATACAGTTGGATCTCTTTTTATTTTTATACTGTTTTCTTTAGCCATGCAGAAGCTTTTTATTTTGATGAGATCCCATTTGTTTATTCTCTGTTCTTAAGATAGAGCTTTTATCTCCTGAATTCTTTACCTGCTTATGGTCAGCTTCTTATTTGTATTAGTGACTTCTCACTTTTCAGTTAGAAAGGCAAATTTGTCATAGGGGAGGAGGGTTGGGGAGCTGAGTGAAAAAAGTGAAGGTATTAAGAAGTACAAAATGGTAATTACAGAAAAGTCACAGAGATGTAGATTATAACATAGGGAAAAGAGTCAGTAATGTTGTAACAACTACGTATGAGGCTGGGTGAGTGCTTGAAACACTGAAGCAGGGGACCACTTTCTAAAGTACATGATTTTCTAATTACTATGCTGTACATCTGAAACTAATAAGAAGTGTAAACTGTAATTTAAAAAATAATATGAAAAGATACTGTTATGGGAATTTTTGCTTCTGTTGAGTTTTTATTTGTTTGCTTATTTTTGATTTTCACTGTTGGAAGCCTAGTGGAAGGGTTGTGGGAAAAGAGGGAGGAGTGAAGTAAACAGAAGTATTCCATGAGTACTCAAAGGAAAAAAAAAGTGGAAAAGGTATGGAAATGAGTCTCCTCACAAAAGGTTAGAGGGATTGGCCTGGTAGAAATATGTCTGATCTGTTTGTGTGGACATGTTACTTGGCAGGCTAATCTTTTTTTAAAAAATTGTGATAATATATACATAACATATTTATCACTTTAACCATTTATAAGTATGCAGTTCAGTGGTATTAAATGCATTCATAGTGTAATGTAACCATCACTACTATCTATACCCAGAATTTTAAAACATTCCCAACATAAGCTCTGTAACTGTTAAATAATAACTTCCCATCTCCTCTTGCTCCTAGCACCTGATAACTTTTATTCTGCTTTCTGTTTCTATAAATTTGTTTGTTCTAGATATCTCATATAATCAATCATATAAAATAGTCCTTCTATGGCTATAATTTCACTTAGATTGTTTTCAAGGTCTGTATATGTTGTAGCATGTATAAAAATTTTATTCCTTTTAATGGCTGAATTGTATAACACTTGTTTATTATCTGTTCTTTTGTTTATTCATTATGCATTCATATACACTCAAGAGTGGACTTGCTGTGTTATAAGGTAGTTCTATGTATAACTTTTTCAGGAATTGACAAAATGTTTTCTATAGAAGCTTCAACCACTTTACATTCCCACCAGCAGCGCACAAGGGTGTTAATTTCTCCATAAAATTGACAGCACACAGTTTACAAACAGGGCATATACATGACCATTAGTGTATTGTACTTGAAATTTCATGTTTAAAGCAAACCCTCAAACAGAAGAAATGACTGAAAAAAATGCAGTGATTACCATTGCTCTAGCAAATCATGAATTTATTTTTTTTAAATATTTTATTTATTTATCTTTAGAGGGGAAAGGAAGGAGAGAGGGAGAGAAACATCAATGTATGGTTGCCTTTCATGGGTCCCCTGCTGGGAACTGTCCTGCAGGGAACCAGCCTGCAACCCCGGTATGTGCCCTGACTGGGAATCAAACCGCGATTGTCTGGTTCACAGGCCCGCGCTCAATCCCCACTGAGCTATACCAGCCAGGGCTTTTTTTTTTATGAATTAAAAAAAAATGGAGATATAATTGACATGTAAGCTTACTTTAGTTTCAGGTATATAGAATAATGACTGATATTTGTATACATTGCAGAATGATCACAATAAATCTAGTGAACCTTCTTCACATTACATAGTTACATTTTTTTCTTCTTGTAATGAGAAATTTTAAGATCTACTCTCAACTTTCAAATATGTGATACAGTATTATTAACTGTAGTCATCATGCTGTATATTACATCGCCATTACTTCTTTATTATGTAACTGGAATTTTGTACCTTGTACCCCCTTCACCCATTTCTCCTATCTCCCTCTCCCCAACAAACTGAATTCTTTGAGAAGATAACCTAATGTAATATATACAAATTATACAGTGGCAGTGGTGATTCAATTATTATTATTATTATTATTATTATTATTATTATTATTACTGGGAAAGGAGGAGTTGATATTTGGATACTACTTTATTTAATTTTTAATTTAAAAATAATTCTACACTTATT